GAACTTTAATTTTCAAGTAGGCTGTGGTGATAAATTCAATATTTACGACACGTCAACTGTCATACTTCTACTTTATTTATCGCTTATTTTTTTCTAAAAGGTAGCAAAACCACAACTTTGGTTTTTCATTACAAAATATCCATAAAATCACGACTAAAACTGGTGTTAAAACAGAAAAACGCTTGTAAAAGCACAGAGCTGCATTTGGGGTTGCATAACCAATTCACGAGATCACACAGCCGAAAACTTTCACACTTGATGTGATATTTTACGACAGTTCCCCGCAAGAAACCTCTTCCGAAATGAAAATATGTTGATTCAAGCAAATAACGTGTCTGGTGATGTTTGAGTTCCGACGAAACATCGTCAAATCCGCCGCCCCCTCATTCTATTCAGTTATTGCCTTCCTCCACCCTTACCTGTCTGGGGTGTCCCACCCCATCCATAGTGTTAGTAGAAGAGTCGACGGCCGGTGCATAACCGTCTGGATGCCACCAGTGGGGTGTTGTCATGGTGACTACGACCCCGTCCGTCCGTTCCGACCCTTGGCGCGTTGCACCGCGTTTCGTTTTGCAATCGATAGAATAATGAGTGGCAGAGTGTGGGGCTGTTTTTATAAGACACGACAACACGGTAGTGCGCCCCCGACGGTACGGCGCCACCCTCAGCCACGATTTCAAAACTTGAATTCAAACTGGTCAATTACTGACTGCATTTTATTGTAAAAAAACATCGAAAAATTGGGCAAATACAATGCTTATAGGCTGGTCAGTCCAGGTCGTGCTTTTTGTTTGGTTTTTGACTGTGAAGGTTATGATTTGGGGTAAATTTGAGATATTAAAAAAAAAATTGTTTTTAGATGGTCGGTCCGGGTCGCGTGGGTTTTTGGTTTATTTCGGGAAATTTCGAACGGTCGACGCGAAGCGCCATCTGTGGCCGTTTGGGTAAAAGTGGGCGTTCATGCGCACCGTAGGGGCTCCAGCAATCGATGAAGCCTGCACTTGGCCTTCAAAAGTCGCGGGGAAGTAGCACGTGGTCTGCTGAGGGTTTTCACCCCGATTTTCCCGGGAAATCCGGCGCTCGCCGCCTACTATCTATATTTTTCCCTCTGATTAATCGCGTTAACGCACGAGGGGAGAAAAGCACTTGCGTCGTCGTTGCAGAGAAAAGTGTTACGACGCCTCGAGCCCGCGTTTTCGCTTTCTTCGAAAATCGAAAGTGATCGGCTCTTAATTTTGGTCTTTTTGTTTCGTGAGGTTGGTATGTGGCGTTAACGAAACGCGCTTCTAGAACAAGGTATCGGTGTCGTCAACCTCTGAATGGCCTATAGCAGTCCTATTAATTCATTATTTTTCACTGTCACTTTTATCGCGTGATACAATCGAAGCTCTCCGTCTCTGTCTTTCTCGTTTTGGGGTCGTATGCGTCCGCGCTGCTTTCAGTAGATTACATCGGCCTAGTTTTGGAAGTCGGTTCAAGAAACTCTAACCGGGTCCGAGGTAAAACTATGACGTTTAACTTTCTCATGGACACGGCGTACCTTTTATGGCATTTCCCAACGAAATCGAAACTTGGCGTTTTCTGAGCGCTTTTCGCTTCTAGGAAAAGCGCGAAAAATGGATGCTCGAAGTGGATTAGTGGCGGATAAATAAACAGGCGAGACCTTGATTTGATAAGAGCTATCTGTGCGATAGCAGCCGCATTATACGATTATATCTGCGGGTCGATGACCACGAATGATCTAGCCTCAAAATTGAGGTCACTGTATTTTTGTAATAAAGAATATGGAAAATGAACTGACACACATCCCGTCCACTGAACCCTTTCTCTCGTTTTTACCCTTCAAAATGAAAACTGCCTTGTTTACTGCTGACTTCATCGAGAACCTACTTTTGCATTGTTGCGTCAATTTTGTTTTTTAATCCTTACATAAGTCAGCGGCAGGAATGTTGGCAACAGAACAAAGGGGGGAAGTTTACGTGAATCATATCGAGGGTGGGGAGAGTTCACTGAGTCACTGGGATTTCGGGGATGATCGACTTACACCCCGCCAAGCTTTCAACAAAACCCTCGATTCAAATTAATGCGAAACGTCGTAGTGAAAGTGAATAGACACTAGTAGGCAGAGTAGAAATAGACCACAACAATGAAAGAACTGAATTTCAATAAGAAAGAGAGAGTGAATGTATGTGAAACTTATAATTTCACATTCGAACTCGGAGTTTTATTATTAAGCTAAAATCATGAAAGTTGAACAGATGATTAAAGCGTAATTAAAAGTTATGGATGAAAATTGAAAGTGTCACGTTTTGCATTGTTCTAACTAAACACTGAAGACGGGTTTGTTTTTATTCTGCTGATTCGAAAATATGGAGCTTGTGTAGATACGCAGTGCGCGCAAAATGAACTGTCTTGAACTATGACTTTGCAAACGCCATCGAGTTTAAATCAGTATACTTTCTAAGAAATGTTTAGAGAAATATTTTTTTTTTGTTTTACATAATTTACGAATGTTTGTCTTTGGTTGCCAGAGTTCATTAATAACTCAAGTTTGCATTTTATTATCAACGAATAGGAATTCAATAAGTTTGCAAATTTTTGCTAATGAAAGGCATGAGAAAGTCCATTATGCACACGAATGAAAGTAAAGAAGTGTTTTTATATTTTAGCATATCAAAACAGAACTAACACTTTACAGACAGGACAAATGAGTTTAATTTTAGCGATGAACGCGAAGTTAAAATTCCCATTTTTGTTGAACGATGTTTTCACAAATATAAAAATTTGTTTTTACGTTCGTTAATTAGATTAATTATGTTTTTCAAATAAGTACACCCTTTTTAAATCAGTTTGTATCAGTGTTGCAAAACATACCGGGTGAAATAGTGAAAAAATGCTAATTTTGAGTGGACGTTTTACGCGCATTTTTACCTTGGATGTATTTACGACATACAGCAATTTTATACGCTTATTATGTTTATCTCATTTGAGACACATACTAACGTCTACTTGAGATAAAGTACTAAAATCCAAATTGGACGAGTGAATCAGCAACCGATATTTTTATGCTCTCCTTTTCTGATAACTCTGTAAATTCAAGTATTTATTTTAGACTTGATTGAAAATTGTAGATTTTGGATTATGGTCAAGGGTTTACTTTTTAGATTTTTTGCCAATATTTACAATGTGAGATGTATGTTATTCAAACTTAAATCAGCGATTTTGCAACGATAAAAACGGGGAAAATAATATTTTAACAGTATTGTAGAACATAGTCCAGGTTTTCCCAATTCGTCTGTTCGAATGCGTCAAACTGATTAATTTGAATTTACCGTCAAAACGTTTAGAGTCTAACTAAACTTTGTTTCATAAATTAAAATGAAAAAAAATAAATAAATTTGAATTATCACATACCTACTACATACCTCTAAGATTTCCCTCAAAAATCTTTCTAAAAATAGTTTATTGTACAAAGGTGGCTTACGTAATAATAAAAAAAAAAAAAACTAAACGTTACTGCTGGTGAAAATATGTTTTGAGATGCTTGGTTGTGCTTGAGAGGCAAGAAAAATCTGAAACGAATAACTTTACCGACTATTTATCTTATGACTTATCTTAGAAACATAGCTTAAAGTGTAATTTAACAAAGCATTACATGCATGCAAATATTATTTAAGTTTCACTTCGACCTCCAAAATCATAAATCTGGAAATAATGTAGATTAACCATCAACGTTAAAACCTACAGTGTAAAATTTTGGTTCTAAGAAGCATCCGTTTTTAATTCTGTACTAACTTTGTGCGAGTTAGCAAAGCGCTCTTTGTGTTAAAAATATCAGAAAATAGTGTTACAATTCTCTGGTGTTTAATAGCATGGCCAACATTAAATCTGATTTTAAGGTTAAATTAAATGTGCTTTGTCTGAAATAAAAGACTTAAAATAACAATTTGATCTTAGATAATTTACTGCAGGTGAAACAGAAAGTGGAACGAACGTTCGTGATTTTTGCCTTCAACTTCGTCTTGTCGCTAAAGAGATCTAGGGATTTTTAGATTTTTATTGTGGAAATTAAAGTCAGGGGATGAGATTTGGGGGTCAACAACCCAAACGTAATACGGAGTATATGTTTTTTTTTTTAATTTTGACTTTAAAACCAAAAACTCCATCTTCGGAGCATGTATTAAAAATTTATTTGTCACATTTTTCAAAATCGATAATAGCATCGGAAAAAGTGTTAATGCCATGACAGTGTTGAAATCATGTTGTTGAATTTTTTTTAGCGTTAATTTAAAAATGTTATTGGAGGTTAGAAAAAGAGGAAAGAGGTATTAGTTTCTGTGGTTTTCTGTCGATATGCGTTTTCTAAAATAATGTATTTATTGTAGTACTTACAATTTTAATGATTTAGGTTGTGCGCTAGAAACATTATTATTTTATTTAGAAAAAAAATTTAGAGTGAAACATTTTCTGGATATATTGTAGAAAATACATGAGGCACTTGATGCATATTTGGAAACATGGTGGTAACGAATTTTCAAAAATGAAGTCAACTCTCTACGTTGTTCTAGATTAATCGCCAACATGGCGACACAATTTTGCAAACATTTTTTCTTCTAAATTTTATCAGCGTGCGTTAATTAGCAGAATTCTTTGGCATGAGGCAATAAACGTTCGATATCCCCATGAAAAATAACGAAAGGGTTCGTTGACTCTCGTAACCCAGTCGCGTGTTGGTCGTGCATGCCTAGCGTAATAGGGTAGGTCGTTATTTCGAAATTTCCAACCGAGAAAAATCGCTCATTTCCACCACCTGCAAAATCCACCTCGACGAAAGCGAAAGTTTCAATCTTCGAGATGTATTTTTTTCGACTTGAAAATGCAGAGAAGACCCATCGAACTGGTAGGTTGACAACAGAGAGTGCGCTGACCGGCGAAATCAGTTAGTGGGTCAGCACCAGCAAGAAGTTCTGCCTGAAACACTCTCGCTATTCAGTTGCGCGAAGTCAGCAGCGCCGCGAGAGAACTTTTTCAATTCGCCAAAACTGTCATCACTCGATAAAATTTTTATCAGTCCTAGCAATCAACGTTCCTTTTTTTTTTAAACTTAATTTAACCCAGCGCTGCCATCATTTCGGTTGTGATTGTTGTTAGTTTTGTTGTTGTTATGTTTTAAAAAAGTGACTTTCGGAAATGACGGTCAACGATTTTAAAGAAACCACTTGTGCCACCGCCAACCAAGACGACATCAGCGTGGTGGTGGTTGAGGCCGTCATCCAACCCCTTCACACCGACAGCGAAAACCTCCTCGGCCGCGTCTTGGCAGGTAATCCCGACATTTAACAAAACTAACCCACCTTTAATTATAATGACCAATCGATTGATAGCTGCCAAAATTATCCCGGTTGCACACGAGTGCAGCGGTTATGACCACCCCAGATCGCCAAAATTCCTCTACTATAGTCGCACATTGTAGCCTCAGTCATGACACACTCTGATTAATAATTAGTTAAATCGCCACCCCATCGCCAAAATCGCCCCCTCGTTGCACTCTCGTCGCTAGCCTCCCCCACAGGTGCCCCTGCCTTCCTTCATTTTCACTTTCCTCCCGGCATCTCTAGCGTCGGTATCTAGGGCAACGGCACCCCGCGTTGAGGCTAGTTCATTGCCCCTCGGCCTTCCACTCGGCTCGCCGTCTCTCTCTTTACACGTATCCGTCCTTGTCTCGAGCACTCACTTTTAATTCCACAAACAGCCCGAGGTTTAAAGATCCGTGTCAGCGAGCCGAGCCTCGTCCCAGGGTGCGCTTTTACACTCGCGAACTCTGCGTTTCGTGTATCTGGGCAGAACGAGGTCGCCAGACCCTCGGAGCGAGGCTAGTTCGTTCACCTTTTACGTCGGCCGCACGAATCTGGGGCAAGATGAAATTAAACTAGAGGTTGAATGCGAAAACAGCACATGTGCCTAGGTTTAACCAATCAACGTTGGGTTTCATCTCCCTCCCCTCGTGCACTATAGTAACCTCGAATGCGAGTTCAACGCTCCGCGGGTAAATAGGTTACCTGCAGAAAGAACCCTTGTGTCAGATTTGCGAATCGTGATGAGAACGATCGAAATTTTCGACTGACGGAAAGTGAAAACGTCGAAAATTTCTGTGCTTGGGTGCCGATGACGTTCGGGTCTTTCACGCCGAACTAACTTTCTCCGGCCTTTTACTTGTTAGATGTTCTAGTTGATAACACAAAAACGCATCACTTTCTATCACTTTCGATTCGACGATACGATCGGTGTTGGCGCTTTTTTTCCACCGAATTTTCGACAACCAGAAACGTTGCGCTGGACATTTTCTATTCTAGTCGTTTTTTCATAAGTGTTGTCAAAATTAGCGCCTCGAGATATTTTTCGCTTTGTTAAGTTGCACAATTCAATTTTGTAAAGAAATAGCGTTTTTAACAACTTTTTTGCTTTACGCAATGAACTCTTTTTTAAATATTTACAAATTTTGTAACGTTGTTTTGATTCATACTTTTAATATCAAACCCTGACGAATTTTTATACTTGTTTCACAATTTAACTAGTACAAACAGTTCGGGCATTAGACACGTCATAAGGTCTAAATTAGCTAGACCTATGACAACAAGCGTGACTATATTTGCAAGCGTATCAAAAATTGACTACGTAAGCTATAAAGCTAACACCTTTCGTCATACGTACTGTACTGTACAATAATTATACTATCGCTGCTATCATCGTAACATGCTAATTTTTAATGTTTATTTATGTGTCAATAAAAGTGTGCATACTGTTTTTAGTAAACATAGCTGGGTCAAATCATTTGCTTGTTTTGATACGTCTACTGTGTTTTTGTATTTATCATAAATTCAGAAAATTAATAATGCCGCAGTATTTCATAAAAGCGAGGCTGAATTGCAAAATGTATACATCAAGTCTGACAGTTGTGACAGGCAGCTCTTTAATCATGTACTTGCAGTTTTTACATTATGGGTTCATTTTCCATTTGGACGTCAACGGAAGCATATTTTATCGAAAATTTCCACTAGCCGGATTTTTAGTACCACACTGTCTTAATTTATGTTATGAACAGAATTTGCGGTGTAGATGACGTTGTCAAAAAATTATTTTTAATTAGTAGTCAAGAAATTGGAAATTAACCCTGCGCTAATCTTGCACATCATGGTTTTGCTTACACGTAATATTAAAAACTATTACAAAGTCTGGCAGCTGTTCCTTTAATGTCAATATTTTTTTATGTTGGGGCACCTGAAATTTAAGACTCGATTTGTTTACATTTTGTTGATACGAGTACATCTGCTTTGTTCCAACGTTATAAGTGAATTCAGAAACAAAGAACTGGACTTGTTTAAAGACGTTACAGTTACGCCTCGTAAAATAAATTTAGAACCAGCTATTTTTGAATTTTAATCAGAAAATTCGATCCGAGTTTAGGTTTTTGTTTCAACAGCAGCTGAGGCAAAATTTCAACGAACATATTTAAATTTTTGAAGCAAATTTTATTATTAATAATAAAGCAGCTGGTATATCAAAGTAGTATACATTATTTTTCTATCAAAACAACCAAATCGTGTAAAAGATGTATAAAAATCTATTAAACAATAATTCTGAATACATTTAGAATTTTTCGAGTGATCTGTAGAAATTATGACGTCATTAATACTTTTTCAGCTACTAAAAATTGTAGATCTGAGACAAAAGTTATAGTTAATTTTTTAAGGGCGTGAACAAAATTATACATATACACAAACTAAGAGTGACGTTGATTATATTTTCAATTAGATTAAAATGTGTAATCCAAGATTACATGTTAAAACAAATGAAATAAAAAAACTGGGTTAGATGTTTTTCATTTTTGAAGTGACTTCATGTCAGTGTTGACGTTTATTTTGTTTTGCAAAACATACATTGATTCAAAATTGTTTAACATATATGAAAACTGTCGGGTTAACTGTGAAATGTGTATTTTGCGTCGAAAGAATATTTCCCTTAAATAATGAACTATAGTTTTGTGTGTAGTCTCATAAAGTCATAAGATGACATAAAAAGATTTTTTTGCCACACAAAATTGACATGTTGTTTTTCATGTGGTTTATATTGAACGATGTAAAGGGCAGCATTTGTTTATCCTCTTTTAAAAATTTATGTTAATTTGTTATTGTAAAAAGTATACATGACGTCATCGCTCTGACATATTAACCAGAGAATTTCAAGTTTGTCTTAAAATGTAACCTGAATGTATGTACAAGTGTTTGACTCATTCGAACATTTTTAACATTTTGAGAATTTTTTGTTGAATGTTTATTTTATTTTTAACATTAAATTAAATAGTAATTACATAAAATACCTTAATAAATGGTACAGAACGTACAAAAAATGTTTGTTGCTTAGTTGGATTTTTTAAACCAACAAAAATTGAACAGTTTTCAAAAAATACGTCTCCATTATTTTTTTAAGTGTAGTCCACGGTATGTTCAAACCTATGGTTCAAACAGTAGTAACGTCAGATACAAACATGACAAACGTGCAAAAATAAAATTATAAATTGTAAGAAATTATTTAGCAAAGTCTTGTTATGTAATCTATAAATATATTTTAAAAAAAGATCTGCGTTGGCTCTCACTGTGGGAAAATTTTATTGTCACAGCAGATATTTTTGGAAATCACTACTTTTGAAAACTGTATTTTTGTGTTATATTAAAAAATACGAGAAATAATAAATCTGTAAAGTTTTGTGAGAGAAGTTTGATAATTTCACATGACGTTTAAAACACAATTTAATTTTATTTTCTTGACAAATTGCGAAAAATGGGAACTGCCAGCTAGAATGAAAAGGCACTTTTTCAAAAAACTAAAGCCCCATATTTCATGGTGTTTGTTAGTCGTGATCAATATATGTGGTTATAGTGGGCGGTTTCTAAAAGATCCTGACTACGTAACAAAAGTTTAACTAATCTAAAACGTCAAAAGAAACCACCAGTCATTATGAAACACCTATTAATAGAGAGTGAAAGAAAGTGTTTTCCATTTCTAAGTTTCACTCTCACGCAAAAAACCCCTCTTCTCCGCTTCAAAACCCAGCGACTTTTTTCGCCACAATCATCTCTTGATTAGAATCCGTACCCTATAACTCCTACAAACATTTCCATTACATTAAACTGACATTGGTCTATCTATAGCCCGTGTCCTATTCCCTTCCCACGTCAAAGACAAAGATGGCACTACCCCTCCCCGTATCACGCTAGAAAGAGACGAACGCACTCCCGCTGCAGCAGCACCATCCGGACTGGTATTTATTTGTATAAATGTGTATACGCTGTTGGCGACCTCAAAAACAAGAGGCAATGCCCTAGTCTCGATCGTGGAACGCGTTGACCTCGATCCAACTAGTATTCGCGATCTTTCTGCTTACCCGCGGAGAGATTACATCGACCCCGAGCCAAGGGATCAATGAACTAGCCTCGCACTGGATACTCCATGACCTGGATTTCGTGCCATAAGCACAACGAGAACTGTGGAGAGCTACGGGGTCCCGGGGACGAGACTAGCGAGCCTGTCCCATATTGGCAAGCATAGTCAAGGTGAATGGCCATGCATCCCACCGGCGGCGCGGCGGCGGCGACGGAGCCGGTTTTGGGGCCACCTGGCCAAAAAAGTCCACCACCACAACGCACACTTCACCAAAATCCCGAAACAATTATACAATTATGGTAATTTAATTATAGTCCAACCCTGTTGTTCTTATTCTTGATGCGTTTCGCACGACTCACCCTCCCCTGAACAATAATAATACTACAATTTATTAAGATTGATATACAACGTCTTGGTAAATTGACCAACGCGCATTTTTGTGACTAAAGTCTCCCTAAAACAAACAGTTATTGCAACATAGTGGAACCCTAGTGTCCGTGTTCTTGATGCGTTCCGCACTACGCACCCTTTCTAGTTTCCTTCAAACAATAATAATACAATTTATTAATACTGAAATAAAACGCCGCAGTGCCCGGGCTGGTGGCGGTTCCGCCGGCGGCACGCACGTGCCTCTTATGATATGATGGGCTGCCGAAAAGTGAAAGTCGTCAGAGAAAGCACATGACTTTTCTCGTTTCGACCATCCACTCTCACTATCGGCCCGACTGACTGCATTCATCGCTTTCGATGCATCGTTGACATAACCGCCCTCGATTGTTGTAGAGAAGACATTTCGGGTTAGGTCTGACGATGGGCTTCCTAATGGCGAAACGGTCGCTAATTATGTGATTTGGTTTTGCAATTTTGCCAAATTTAAGCGTG